TCACATGTTTGACAATGTTCTCATAGAAGCTAACATTTTTTTTTTTTTTTTATCTTTTTTTTCTTTTTTTTTTTTTTGTCATTTTTTTTTTCTTTTTTTTTTTGCTGTTTTTTTTTTTTCTTTTTTTACCAATTATTAATAGCATTAAATGCCATTAAAAAGGCATCGCCTTTTTTTGTCTTTACTTCTGTTATATTGTCACTGTTGTCTTTTTCTTGACTTGGATCCTCTGATTTTTTCTCTTGTTCTTCTTCTTTAGTGAATGTATTGGGTCCTTTTTTCAAACATTTTACAAAACTATTAACATTATAGTAGATCCCTCTTTTATAATATTCTTTGCAGTGGCAGAAGCAATATTTCATACTTGTATAACAACTATTATGGTAGCCGTGTCCACAAATTAAGGTTTCGCCATCATTCTTCAAAAGCTTGTGACAATGGTCACAGAGATCAGGTTGTGGGGGAAAATTTGAACTATAGCCTGTAAGAAGACACCTTATATTCACAATTTTGTCTATAGTAGCCAGATAGTATTCGGGTATATTTTTTTTCATGAAGTTTGCTTTTTTCACGGTTTTTGAAAATTTTTTGCAGGTAATTCAGAAGGAAAAGCCTGGTTTTTTCAGTTAAAAAGTTTAATGTCAAGGTGGTATAAGGATATTGTCTTGATTGAAGAAAGAAGTTTCGCAATTCATCTTCACTTTGCATATCTGTAATATAAAAAATTAGTGTTTTAAACTTTAAATAAATAAATTAATTAAAAAAAAAAAAAAAGTATATACATACGTATATACGTATATATATATGTACATACCAATTACATAAGCCTGTCGTATGATACTTTTTAATGTTGAATTTGGGGAGGTTTGCGCACGAATCCTACTGTGTAAATTTTCAACATAATATTCGTTAAAATTTACCAAAAAAAGTTTAATTGCTTCGCTAAATGGGTGATTATTGTCTTGCCAGTAAAATATGTCAGATAAAAATGCGAGTGGTGCCTTGTTATAATTGTGGTGCCGCTACTATAACATAAATGTCTAGATTCAGAATATTGTCTCTAAGTATTTGTTGAATGAACCAGATTGAAAAAGGATAGCATAAATTTCTAATGTGGTAGGAATCAAATTATCTAGAAGATCTAGAACCATACAGTATTCGATGTCTTTGCAATTAGATCTGAACTTTTCTATAACCTTTTCTCTAATTTTACATCATCCTTTATGTGTTAATTTGAGTAACAAATTAATTTGCCATGGTCTAGGCTTCTTAGCCAATTTTTTTTTTACCAAAAACGAAGTGAAACAAATCTTAAAAAAAAAAAAAAAATTTCATTACTACCTGTTCTCGACTATTCAAGGATATATGTAATGGTCCTAATAAGGGACAAACGAACTAATCTCATAAGGAATATTATAAAAAAAATTATTTAAATTGGTAATTGCTTTACGAATAAAAAGCTGGCCTGGCCAGTCTACTACGATAAAAGCTACCTGATTATACAAGTGTTTGGTATCCTTATTGATTTTCAATACAACTTGTAGTGCATCCACATAATCAAACATCGAATGCAAGTTTTTTTCTTGAAACCCAACTAACCGTATATTTTTTGTAAACCACTCCTCCTTTCACTCTATTATCACATTATTGTAAATATAAATTGTTAACAAATCTATTTGATCAAAACTATTTTTTTTTAAACCACCAGATGCAATCTATTGTAACCTTTGTATTCCATATGAAACATCAAATATTCCAGTATATTGGTGTTCTAATCTAAAACAAATATTACTCGCATCAATATTAAGCGAATTGTGGATATATATATTATTAAAACTAAGAGGAATTGGTATACACGTCTTTACTGGTTTGCAAATACACATTGCCATATGCTTGGTCGTTGATAGTAATACTGTGTCTGGGCGTCTTTTCTCATGAATATCATGGTA